CACTTTCCTCGGTAACGCTTCCAACAGAAACTCCTCTCCCGAGCAGATAGCAGACAGACAGCTGCAGGCCCTGACACATGCGGCCTGCTGTCTGCTTGCCCTGAAGAGGCCCTAGGAATAATTTGTCCAGGCTTACTTAGGGATACTGTCAGTAGGAAAGGGATCAGTCTTGCAAATAAAAAAGAAAAGGCTTTAAGTTCTGTGTTCTTGCAGCTGCCGGGAGTTTCCAGAGCAGCTGAAACGACAACCTGCGGAGTTCCCACTTCCTACAAGAGCTTCAGAGACTAATAAAGACACTGCTCCAATCTAGAAAAAGACTGAATAAAAAATAGCTCCATAGTTAATTACAGTGTCCTTTGCTTAAAAATCTTAAGTGATTATGAATAGGATCCTAGCTTTTATCAAGAATACAAAGGATAGGTGAAACATGCTTTCAGTCAACAAGCCTTTAATTAAATGTGCAAGATGAAGAGGGGGATGTCGAATTTTAAAAATAAATAATGCCTCTTTTTAAAAAAAAAATATTTTATTGATATTTTCACAGAGAGGAAGAGAGAGGGATAGAGAGCTACCCTGTTTCCCCGAAAATAAGACAGTGTCTTATATTAATTTTTGCTCCCAAAGATGCGCTAGGTCTTATTTTCAGGGGATGTCTTATTTTTCCATGAAGAAGAAATAGGTACACATTTATTGTTAAATGAAAATAAAGGAAATTTATTAACTGTATACGGTACGGTAGTTGTCAACACAAACCAGACAAACTGTAAATCCTACAGTATCAAGAATTTACTCATATTTTCATTGACAATCATGTCATCGTCTTCTGGAACATCATCCTAACAATCCAATTTCTGAATTTCTTGGTGAATTTCTTATGACTCCATTTCTTTCAGAATCAGTGGACCAAATCTCTCATGTTTAGCCTAGGAGGAGCCTTATTTTCAGGGAGATGCCTTATATTTCACTCAGAAGGAAACCTGTAAGTAGGTCTTATTTTCGGAGGATGTCTTATTTTCGGGGAAACTCGGTAGAAACATCGATGAGAGAGAATCATCAATCAGCTGCCTCTTGCACACCCCCACTGGGGGTGTGCCCGCAACCAAGGTACATGCCCTTGACCGGAATCGAACCCAGGACCTTTCAGTCCGGAGGCCAATGCTCTATCCACTGAGCCAAACCGGTTTCAGCTAAATAATGCCTCTTAAATGATCATCTCACATCCTACATTTGCCCCCTCCCCCATTTAAGTTATTTCTCCACACAATATTCAGAACTACCTTTAAAATAAATTTCCAAATCCTTAGGTGTTCACATGGTACAAGCTTCTTTTATACACTCTCTCTCTCCATCCTTTTCTATCTGGAAAAATGTTCTAACTCACCAAAGGAGTGATTATCCATCAGGAAACACAACTGGTAAATATGTTACACCTGATCCAGACTAGAGGAAGACTGCAAACTAGTAAAAACAGTTTAGAACAAAGATCTTGTACCAGAAAAGTAAAAGAGAAAGAGAGAATCCTAAAAACTGGGAATATTTTCTCTTTCACATTTTTCTGTTTCTATTTTGTAATTGCTGACGCAGCAGTTCCTATGTTCAGACCATCACTCCTACCATTCCCCTAACCACTAAAGACATTTCAAAACTACTAATAATGGTAGAAGAAAGCCCTGTTCCCACCAAATCATACCAGAGTGCAAGTCAGTTGAGAACCACATAGCACATGAGAATCATTTTAGCAAAAGGAAGAGTGAATAATAAAGCAGGTGTTCTGGTAAGGCCATGGGTGATTTTCAAAAACCAAAAATGCAATACCCAAACTTGCCAATTTATGAGTAATAAGATGCACCCTAAAGATGTTTCAACTAACCGCATTTATGCAAAGAAAAACTACTATAAACGTAAATACTGAAATTAGAATGTAAGCTCCCCACATCTCATCCCATCACAATTATTTCACAATTATACACCCTTACAGCCCTGTCCACTTCTACCCCAAACAATATTCAGCAAGAGCTGAAGACAGTTCAACAGTTGTAAGATCCTAAAACCTTGGCAATACAAATAATGCCATACAAAGATAGTGATGTTACTGAATCTGAAATCTATAAAGGGCTGGTCTCTCCTGTGAGAATGCCTGTGTTCAAATCCCAGCTCAGAGCAATGCTAATCTCCGGTCTTCAGTTCATAACCACCTACTAGGATAGCACACAAATAAGCACTCAATGCTGACAGCCCTTGAACTTTTGGATGGTGGGCAAGCACCACCTTGAGTGAGCTTGTTCATTTGAATGTCTGAATTCAAGGAATGATAGTAGTTTGGGGTACTAATGGATTTAAACACAAAAGCAGGGGCTGTAGGTCAAAAAGTCCATAACAGTCTGCACCCTTTTTTTTTTTTTCCTATTCCTATCAGTTCATATTAATCACCTTGGAATTCCTAAAGAGCCTCTTCTAATCCTCTTCCCAGGTAACTATAATTAACGCTACTAATTCTGTCTTCACTTTTAAGAATATGACATGTCACTTCTGGTTAACACATCCTGATGTTTATCAATGTAAAACGGACAAGGTTTTTCTTCTTGGATTAGCTCAAAACACTATTAATTCTAAATGACTCATGGGGCACCAAAGGCATTTTCTTTGGTCTTCAAGAACAACTGTGGAAATCCAATTATTCTTAAAAATACTGAATCTTGCTTTTGGGGGAAGACTTTCACTGTGTGTTCGCATCGTTTGCCTTCACTCAACATTCCAAATAATTTGGGAGAGAAGAGGCTTTAGTTGGGCAGTTAACAATGCTTTTGGTTCCTTTAATTGGCAAGGAGTTGGTAAAGTGAGTGATAATACTATTTTTAGAAGATAAGTAACTGCCCTTTGGAGAACAGGGGGACAGGGAACAGGGGGAGAGAAATGCAAATTCTCAGGCATAGCCCCAGGTCTGTCTTAAGAATAGGTAGAGTAATAGAAGGTTCCATTGGCAAGATGGCCCCATTGAAATTTGTTAAGGAATTGCAGAAGACTGAGATGGGCAGATTTATTAGGACAGTATGGTTTTGAACCTGAGAGACCAGAGACCCTTTCAGAATGCCTATGAGGTGGAAAACTGTCACAATGAAACTAAGATGTTACTTCGCCTTTTTCATCGTTCTCCAAGTGTGTTTTCTAACTGCCTAACTGAATGGACAGAAAATAGCCCATGAAAACTTACATGTCTTTCATTAAAGACAGCCGTTCCTAATGTATTATTATAATTTATGAATTATAATAACGATGACTATACACCAAAAAAAGCGTTGAATCTTTTTAGTTAAAAAATAAAAAGCAGCCACTGCACAGAACTGTAATGAGCCACTTACTGCAAACCCTGGATACAGTTCTTGCCCTCCATCACCCTTGTATATTTCATCCTTCCCCTCTGAAAATTTATACCCGAGGGCTTGAGAGGATGCAGCCCTGGGGAAGTGAAAAGCAAGAGTCCTGTCTTTGCCACTCACCACCAGTGTGACCTGTGTGGGCAAGTCACTATCTTCAGCTCAAAGTGAGGTGGTTTCTAGCACAATGGTTATCAGGGTGAGCCTGGGACCATCCCCAGGGTTCAGGGTTCAGGTCCTAGCTCCACCAAATGTTAGCTGTATGACTTCAGACATATTAGCACATCGATTAAGCCCAATATCCTCATTTATATTAAAAAAAAAAAAAAAAAAAGGCGGGAGGAGCTGGGGGAAAAAGCTACCCATCTCATAAGAGTGCATGAAGATTAAATAAGATAACCCATATAAAAAGCCAAGGACAGTGGCTGACATAATTAGTAGTCTACACACACATTAGCTATTATTACTTATCTCACAGGATTGTTTTTGGAATCAAATGAGATGTGAGGGTAAAGCATCATACAAATGACAAAAATAAAAGCAAGACCAATTGTGCCAGAAACATTGTTACCCCACCCCCCAGAAAAAGTTAAATGATCTTGGCCATTCGGAGAAGCCTCCGTTTAGTAGCATCCAAGAAAAAAAAAAAACAAAAAAAAACAAACAAAAAAAAAAAAAAAAAAAACACGCTCTAATTTTGCAAAAAACCACTGACCTTGAAAAGCCTTCTTCAACATTAACTGAGATAGGCCAAACCCATACAACCATCTAAGGAAAGGAAATGCAAAGGGGACCACGGTCCAATTACAGAACATCTCCGTTCTTGAAAAGGTGTTTCTCCCGGACTCAAACCTGCGACTTCCCACATCTGGGGTGGCAGGATGACACCGAGGTCTTAAAGCCTGGGGGCTGAGGGAGGCGGGAAGGATGGAGGGGATCCACCGAGCGCGCGAAGGCGGGCTGCAGAGAGGAAATGCCCTTGCAGCAGCCCTGCAAGACCCTCCATCGCGATCTACCAGTCTCTTCGCCGCTATTTTGGGCCCAAGACACCCCCCACCCCAAAGCCCCTCGCTGCCCACGTGTGCCCAGAGCAGCTGTGTCTCCACCGAAGACCTCGCAATGGGGAACCTCGAATCAGGCCTGTTCTCATTCGATCGGGGTGACCTTGTGTCAGACCCTTCCCCTCTTTGGACCTCTTTCTCCACGTACACCCAGCACGGCTAGGTGGGCAACCCCCTAGGCCTGGGTTCCCGCAATTAAAGGATCTTTAGTGAGGAATATTCCCTCAGCTTCCACCCGCGGGGAGATGTCGGGGCTCTCCCTCGGTGTGGCTCTCACAGAGGCAGCCGACGGGCGGCGCAGGTCTCAGCGAGAGGAAGTGTCTCCGCTCTGCCGCCCCGCCGCCGCCCCGACCGAGCCGCCGCCACCTCAGGGCTCAGGAAGGCCCGCCGGCGCCTACGCGAGGCCCGTGGCTGCGGCCTAGAGGCCCGCGCGGCCCGCCCCCGGCGCCCGCGGCCCCCGCTCCCGGACTCTCGGCGCGGCTTCTGGGCCTTGGCTCCGGTCTCGGTACCGCTCGGCAGCCCTGGGCGCTTCCGGGCGGCGACCAGGCTGGCCACAGGCACTCACCGTAAATGGGCCGGAGGCGCCTGTCGTTAGGGTCCTGCACATGGCCCCGTGTCGCCATGATGACAAGCGCAGAACCGCAGTGCGCACGCGCGGGGCAGGCCTCCAGGAAGGGGCTGTTAAAGGGCCAGCGCCGATCTCGCTCGTCTATCGCGATGGGTCGCGGCCGAACGCACCTGCGCGGAAAGCGCTGCTGCCTCGCCCCCCGTTGGAAGAACTGCCTGATCAATAGAAACTTTCTCTCCTTTTTTGACGGTGCAATCAACCGAGCTAGTCGAGGCGGCTGTTGCTGTTTGGAATCCCTTCCGAGTCACCTACTGGGGCGTGAGAACGGGAGGGGAGACGCTCTTGGTCAAAGTTGGGGCTCAGCCGCTCATCCTATTTATTCTCTGTGCTTCATGAAGGACCAGTTAGACTTGTCTTTAATTGTTGAGGAACCAGGAAATCCTCTGGGAGGATGAGTTCCAGACCCTTTCACCCCTTTCTCGGGGTTCAGCCAACTGAGAAGCCTCTTAGGATGAATAGTAATCCAGTCAATTATACTTCAGTAAAGCTGGAGAGAAAAGGTAACTCAGCCAGTATGCATTGCAAGCACTTTATTTTTTTTATTATTAAATTATTATCTGTGTACATATTTTACCATTGCCCCCCCATATATACCCCCCCTCCCCAGGGTTTTGTGTCCATTGGTTGTATTTATATGCATTGCAAGCACTTTAAATATATTATTTCTTTAATACGCATAACAACCCTCTTCCTAGGAGGTAGATATTATTATCTTCCTTTTTTTAAGATATAGTTTATTGAGTTTTTACAGAGAGGAAGGGAGAGGGATAGAGTTAGAAACTGGGTATGTGCCCGCAACCAAAGTACATGCCCTTGACAGGAATCGAACCCGGGACCTTTCAGTCCACAGGCCGGCGCTCTATCCACTGAGCCAAAACAGTTTTGGCTACCTTCTTTCTTTTTTTTTGATCAGTGGGTTTATTCATACATATAGCTATTGGGTGCCGTTATGTGGCATGCTCTGTTGCAGGCACGAAGGATACACCAATAAACAAATAGGCCGAAACCGGTTTGGCTCAGTGAATACAGCTTTGGTCTGCAGACTGAAGGGTCCCAGGTTCAATTCAGGTCAAGGGCATGTACCTTGGTTGCAGGCACATCCCTAGTAAGGGGTGTGCAGAAGGCAGCTGGTCGATGTCTCTCTCTCATCCATATTTCTATCTCCCTTCCTCTCTGTAAAAAAAATCAATAAAATATATTTTAAAAAAAGATACTTCTATTAACAGTCTAAAAATAAATAAATAAACAAATAGACAATCTTTGGTGGGGTTTAACTTATATTGGGGAAGACAGGCGATTAAGTGAGTAAAATAGATGTACAGGTGGGCAAAAGTAGGTTTACAATTGTGAGTACATGAGTTAAGGCTACTGTAATAATCACAAACTGCCTGCCTCCTCTCTCCACCTCTCCCTTACTCTCTCAAATCAACTTTAAAAAACACTTTTTAGAAAGGAAGGAAGGAAGGAAGGATGAATAATGGTCAGGAGCCTCAGGTAAGCTGACTCCAGGATCACTCGGAGATGGATGTGGCCAGGTATGACCAGGCTCAGGTTGAGCTTGCCAAAGGGAGAGGAGGGAGGAGACCAGGCTCAGGTTGGGTTAAGAGAAACAGTACTTGTTCATCGTTGAGGCACATGAAAGAGCCAGTGAGTCACCTGAGTTTTAAACGTTTCCCAGAATGGAAAAATACAGCACCTACAAGGGGCCCAAGGGGCTCCTGGCCAGGACTGTGGTTACCCAGCTAGGTTCTTAGGTTACCTTTGTTGGTCTGGCCCCGTGAGGAATGCTAACAGGCTCAGCACCCGGTTCCCTAATTTGGCAGGGCCAGAGCATTATGGACCTACCTAACAGAGGCCCCTAGATATTTGAGTCACCTTTCTGGGTGGAATACATTTCTCTCCACCCTGAAAGCCTGTTTGGCATCCAACTAGGATGAATTGGCCTTTTTCTTTTCCCATTCCTACCCCTTGTCCTCAGAGCCTAAGGCTGAAGCAGTGACCTGGCTCTGGGCCTGTCCTTACCTGCTCCCCGAGAGACAGCGGCACACCCTTTGGCAGGTGTGAATCATTTCGGGTAACAAATGAGATGATCCCACCCCACCCCAGGAAGCCAAAAACACCATTTTTCTTGCTGTACAATTCAGAACGCAGAACAAAGAGAGCTGACATGGGAAAAGGCTTGGCATACAGTAGGTGCTCATTGCATGATGCTTTCCATTTTCTTAACTTAGAACCGGGGTACGCCCTTCATTCTTGTCCTGTTTGGTGGCAGATTTGCTCTGGTGAGAAACCCTCTGGATCAAGCGCAGTGGCACCCATAGGTGCATTGCCTGAAGAGCTGGGGACTCAGGGCGGGTACGGCATTACCTGGATATAGTGACTGTGGGTATCTCCACCCGCTGACTTTTCTGGTTTTTGTTTTTCTTTCCCATCTTCTGCGTATGTTCCTATTTAATCTTAGTAATCCTCCTAAGAATAAACAGATCACTGCATATTTCATAGTTTTTATAACTGATTTCCTGCCCTTTTGACAGAAATAGAAACAGCAACTCTGACTCTGAAATCAAACCAGACTTAGATCAAAATCTGGACACTGATACGTATCCACTGTGTGATCTTAAGCACGTGACTGAACATCTCTGAGCCTTAGTTTCTGCATTGGTAAAATTATGATACTAAAAGGACCTACCTCACAAGGTTGATATGAGGAATAAATTCTGTGGTTTATGAAAAGAAACAAGTAGCCGAAACCGTTTTGGCTCAGTGGATAGAGCGTCAGCCTGCAGACTGAAAGGTCCCAGGTTCGATTCCGGTCAAGGGCATGTACTTTGGTTGCGGGCACATCCCCAGTATGAGGTGTGCAGGAGGCACCTGATCGATGTTTCTCTCTCATCAGTATTTCTGACTCTATCTCTCTTCTTTCCTCTCTGTAAAAAATCAATAAAATATATATATATATATTTTTTAAATATATATTTTATTGATTTTTTACAGAGAGGAAGGGAGAGAGATAGAAAGCCAGAAACGTCGATGAGAGAGAAACATCAACCAGCTGCCTCTTGCACACCCCCTACTGGGGATGTGCCTGCAACCACTGTACATGCCCCTGACCGGAATCGAACCTGGGACCTTTCAGTCCGCAGACCGACGCTCTATCACTGAGCCAAACCAGTTTCGGCTAAAATATATTTTTTAAAAGAAAAAAATAAATAAAAAGAAACAAGCAGAAAGAAAGCACTCAACAACAGTTACATGCTATAACCATTTTTAATATTATTACTCCCTTCTCTTAAAACTGCAGAAATCACCTCCTGACAAATCAACAAACAACAAGTACTGGCAAGGATGCGGAGAAAAAGGAACCCTATTGCATTGCTGGTGGGAATACAGATTGGTACAGCCACTGTGGAGAACAGTGTGGCTGTTTTAAAATTAAAACTGGAACTGCCATTTGATCCAGTAATCCCACTTCTAGGAATATATCCCAAGAAAACAGAAACACCAATCAGAAAGGATATATTTACCCCTATGTTCATAGCAGCACAATTTACCATAGCTAAGATTTGGAAACAGCTTAAGTGCCCATTAGCAGATGAGTGGATTAGAAAACTGAAATACATCTACATAATGGAATACTACACTGCTATAAAAAACGAAGGAATTCTTACGATTTGCAAAAAATGGATGGAAGTGGAGAGCATTATGCTAAGTGAAATAAGCCAGAGAAAGATAAATATCAGATGACCTCACTCATTTGTGGAATATAATGACCAACATAAACTGATGAACAAAAATAGGACTAGAGTCATAGAAACATCCAACAGACTGTCCAACCTATGAGAGAAGGCTGGTGGGGGGTGTGGGGTAGGGTGAAGGGGTAAGAGATCAACCAGAGGACTTGTATGCATGCATATAAGCATAACCAATGAACACAGATGGGGGTGGGTGATGAGGGCATTGCTGGGGAGGTTGGGGGGGCGGGGAAAGGTCAATGGGTGGGGGGGAAGGAGACATATGTAATACTTTAAACAATAAAGAATTTAAGTTTAAAAAGTCACCTCCTGATACTTCAGGACACCAAAGGACTTTTCCCCATCTGATGTGTCTCCTTGTAGGAGTAATACCTTGGAATCTCCATAACATTTGGCATAAATTAAGCCAAAAGAACCAATTGCAGAATTAAAGGAAGACAAGGCAGAGAAACTGGGAGCTAAGAGTTCAGGATAGCCAGGGTTATGATCTTAGTTTTCCCAACAATTGACATTGCAATCCTGGGTCTCATTTTCCGCATCAGAAAAAGAGAGGGTGGATTTTCAGTCCCCTTTATCTCGCAAGCTCAAATGCCGGTCATCCACCCTCGCACTTCCAATTATTTCCACTAGGTGGCATATGAATGCCAAATTGCCCAGACTACTTTCCAAATCAGAAATGATCTGAATTTAATTAATTTTTTAAAAATATATTTTATTGATTTTTTACAGAGAGAAAGGGAGAGAGATAGAGAGCTAGAAACGTCGACGAGAGAGTAACATCAACCAGCTGCCTCCTGCACACCCCCCAACGGGGATGCGCCCGCAACCAAGATACATGCCCTTGACCGGAATCGAACCCGGGACCCTTCAAACTGGTTTCGGCAGAATTTAATTAATTTTTTAAAAACATAGCAAATATGAAATATGTGTAAGCTCTCTATAATTTTTAACTTATCTTTATTCTTAAAAGTATTACAGATGTCCCCTTTTTCTTTATAATTTTTATACTCAAGTTTATTGAGTTTTTTTATTATTATTATTGATTTCAGAGAGGAAGGAAGAGGGAGAGATAGAAACATCCATGAGGAGAGAGAATCATTGATCAGCTGCCTCCTGCACGCCCCTGACTGGGGATCAAGCCAACAACCTGGGCATGTGCCCTTGACCAGAATGGAACCTGGGACCCTTCAGTCTGCAGGCCAACACTCTATCCACTGAGCCAAACTGGCTAGGGCTGTTGAGGTATTATTTACATATCATAAAATTCTTTCATTTTAAGTGCACAATTCAATGATTTTTAGTACATTTTACAGAGTTCGACAACCATTGAAATAATCCAATTTTAAAACATTTAATCAGACAAATAATATTGCTTTTATAAGCTATAATTTAAAAAAATTTAAATATATTTTATTGATTTTTTACAGAGAGGAAGGGAGAGAGATAGAGAGCTAGGAACGTCGATGAGAGAGAAACATCGACCAGCTGCCTCTTGCACACACCCTACCGGGGATGTGCCCGCAATCAAGGTACATGCC